GGGGCTATTATAGATGGTGTCCACTTTATAGAAGTTTCCATGAAACACATACTCTAGGTCTTCTAACACTTTTATTTTTCATTTTGTCAACGGTCTTCTTACATTTTAACAAAATAGAAAAAAGAAATTCGAAAGAGGAACAAAAAAAGACAGACATCTTATTGCACCAGCGAGTCCTCAAACTTGATACCGACCTCCTGTTCTCTTCTCTTAAATTAAAATCCAAATTTGTTGAGGCTAAATATCTTTGTTCACACTTCATAATTTCTTAAGCAATGTATTTGTTTTGCACGTTTACATAATTGACTTTACGTCAGTACATTGCTTTGCATTATTTTACATAGTTGACTTTACGTTACTATTTTATCATGCATCCCTTTTAATAAGATTCTTGGATGAAAATTCATATATCAGCTATGTTGAGACTTGAGAAATAAAATTACGGATCAGAAATCAGATTTTTTGATATTGGTATTACAGAATTCTTTCACATTTTTCAAAGCTAAAACCGATAATACTTGAATTTCCACAAGGAATGTTGTGAGTTGTAGAACATTGAGAAGAGAAAGAGACTTCGCCAAACCTAACTGAGTGTATAATTTTGGAGGTATGAACATGTATTTATGATATCTTAGATGTGTTAAAAACATACATAACTTTTCTGAAAGGACACTTTACAACACTCACTTAATTATAAAACTCAAGTACCTATCATTGACTATATAATTTGACTTTTCCTCCAATAGAATTAATTTTTTCCCGTTTGTATTCTACATAAGATGGGCAACTTTGTCTCTTTTCTCTGCTCAATTATTAACTACTACTAACAAATTAAGAATAACTGAGTAAAAACCTTTAAAACCATCGTCGCAAATTCGGACATTTTCCCTTGAAAATACGATTTCTGAACAAGAGAATTGAATTTTATGGTTATAGCATGACGACATATTAAAACAAAATTAATTATGTCTAAATCGAGATTCACACACATAAATACATGTATGTGTAGTCCTAAATTTAGGCTGTGATTAATTTGACAATACATAATTAAGTGAATAAATACAAGTATAACACATAGCAAATGTATACAAAATTTCCTACTACCTCTTCTTTTTTAGGGTTATGCATTTCATATGGTTTTAATATTTAGAAAAGTCCACAAATGAATTTCGACATCACAAGTATTTCTGTGGAAGCAAGTAGTCGTAAATTGCTGATACTTTCTTCTCGTGTGAATATGTAAATATGCCCCCCAAAAAGTTATAATTAAACAACACTTTTGAACCTCTACTTAGCATATTCCTTCTTATCCAAATCCATTTTCCAGCTGCAGCTCCTAATATCCTACTGCTATTTTGGACTTCAAGGATTTTATCCATATCTCTGCCGTGGTCAATTTTGGCGTTCCACACAAATATACACCAACAACTAGTGATATATGACTTTGTTTCTTATTTCTAATATCTTAAACGTTTCTCACTGGATATTTTCTGGTCATATTAATGAAGTCACTGTAACATCAGCAACGCATATCTTCAATCAAATCCATGATTAAAAAAAATATCTTGATATAGAATCCTTGTCTTCTGAAATTAAAGCTTGCAAATGAAAAGGAGTTAGTATGTAGATTGCATATGAATGGTGTTGGAGTGATGTGTATATACATTAATTAGTATAGGGGTCAATTTTTACATATTAGAAGTTAGAGGTGGTCATTAGTTATTTAGCATAGTGTTAACTAATTAGTGGATAGTTATAAATATCTGTACAAGGGTTCATTAACAGTTAATGAAGAACCAACATTTTCTTCTCTCAAAGACGATCTTCAATGGGAGAAATCTAGCATGTATCAGAGCGGAGAAGATCGATCCTCAAAGTTCTCGTTCAAATTCATTAGGTAAAGTTGAGTTTAACGCAGATATTTTCAATTTCTCCTCTTATTGTTTGTTAGCTTGATTGCTGCATCGAGTTGATCGTCAATAGCGACGGAGAAGATCAACCACACACATCTACTGTTTCTTCAACCTTCGGACATACCAGGCCTGGTGTTGATTCCAATTCAGCTTACAAGCTCTGAAAATTATGGGTTATGGAGCAGATCGATGAAGTTGGTTCTAAAGGCTAAGCGAAAATTAGGGTTCATCACAAGGGACTGCAAAAAGGAGTCGTTTGAGGATGCTCTCCATGAGAAATGGGAGACCTGCAACGCAATAGTGCATTCCTGGATTATGAACTCAGTTTCAAAGGATCTCGTTAGTGGAATCATATGCATCTGATGTGCATGATGTATGGGAAGACCTCAAGGAGCGATTTGATAAAGTGAATAGAGTGAGGATTTTCCAGATACACAGAGCAATTTCAAGGTTATCACAAGGAACTGACTCTGTTGCTGTTTATTTTACTTAGCTGAAAGAGTTTTGGGCAGAGTATGATGTGTTGGTACCTTCACAAAATTGTGGTTGTGCAAGGGAAAAGGAACACACTGTTCGTATGCATCAACAACGATTAATGCAGTTCCTAAATGGGCTAAATGGCACATATGATCAAGCACGCAGGCAGATTCTAATGAAGACTAATGAACCAACTCTTAATCAGGCATATGCATTGATTTCTCAGGATGAGAGTCAACAACCTATGGGAAATCTATCAGTGACAGAAAAACTGGATCCTTTGTCTATGCAAGCAGGTAGAGGACAACACTATCGTGGAAGAAAGCAGTTCTTACAATGCCAGCATTGCAAGATGAATGGACACACTAAAGAAAATTGCTTCAAAATTATTGGATATCTAGATGATTTCAAGGTAAAGAGGGGATATCAACCAAGAGGAGGACTTATGACATTCAATAATGTAGAAGGGCCACTCACAACTAGGAATTTGCAAAGCAAGGGTGGTGATTACTTCTTCACTGAA